TAGCTGTAGTAAGATAAAAGTTTGCCCTTCTGATTATAGTAGAAATCTCAAATTTAATGCCCATCGGAGTTTTTCCTCTTGATTTAGTACTTTTTTTTTTTTTTTTTTTTGATACTGAGGATCAAACCAGGACCTTCACACTGAAATTACATTCCCAACCTTTTTTCTTTTGAATTTTGAGGCAGAGTCTTGCTAAGTTACCCAGAATGGACTTAAACTTGTGAGTCTCCTGTCTCAACCTCCCAAATACTGGGATTATGTGTGTATATAATTATGCCCAGCTTATGCTAGCTTTTAGTTTTGAAATTGTTTTTGAGACGAGGTCTTGCTATACAGTTCAGGCTGGCCTTAAACTTGCAGTGATCCTTCTGCCTCAGCCTCTTGGGTGCTGGCATTACAGGAGTGTGCCACCACACCTGGCTGAAATTCAGTTTTATGTGCCAGTTATTTAGAACAAACAAGAATCTCCCTACTTTGATAAAAATTGAATTTCAGCTTTTTCTTCCAGAACCTCAGGCTTCACACATGCTAGGCAAGCACTATACCACTGAGCTACATTTCTAGCCTTTTAAAAATTTTTTATTTTGAAGCTGGCTGTGGTGGTGAATGCCTGTATCCCAGCCCCAGAAGACTGAGGAGGAGGATCACCAGTAATTTGTAACCTATCTCAGTAAACTAAAAGTTTTATTTTGAGATAGGGTCTTACCAAGTAGTCCAGGCTGGCCTTAAATTTGGGATCCTCCTGTGTCAGCCTTTTGAATAGCTAGGATTACGTGTATTGCAGTTGAAGTGAAGTATTTGGGGCTGTATGTGTTTTTGGGGGTACCTTGGATTGAACCCAGGACTTTTGCATTGAGATAAGTCCCCAGCCTTCTTTTTATTAAGACAGGATCTTGCTGAAGCCCCTATTTGCCCAGGCTGAGCTGGACCCTAAATTTTCCTGCCATAGCCTCCCAAAGTGCTGGGATTACAGGCATGTACCACCATGTTCAGTTCCATGCCACTGTTTTTAAATTTTTTATTAGTATATGTATTTAGTACATAATATTTACATTCCTTGAAGGTGTTGGCACATGTATTTAATTCCTTTTTTCAACGCCTTTCCCTTCCCTACCTCATCACCCATCCCTTGATCTTCTTCCTTTTTTTGTACATATTGCAGTACATAATATTTGAATTTCTTATGTATATTTGGTATATGTACATGATACATCTTAATTCTTTTTTTATCCCCTCTCCCTTCTTTCCAGCCTCCCTTCATATCTTGGTCCCCTTCGCCTTTGGGAAAGATATTATCTACCTTTTATTTTGCTCCTTATATTATACCTTGGGTTTCTCATATAAGAGAAACCATACGACATTGAAGCTTGTGTGTCTGATTTAGTTTACTTAACATTATAGTTTTGACTTGGAGGTGGTAGCACAGCCTGTAATCCGAGCACAAGGAGACTGAGGCAGGAGGAGTGCTGTGAGTTTGAGGCTGACCTGGGCTGCACAGCAACTTCAAGGACAGCCTGAACTGCCTAGTGAGACCCTGTCGTAAAAACACAAACCAAACCCACCAACCAAACAAACAACATTATGGTCTCAAGGTGCATCGGTTTTACCCATGACTTATCTTTCTTTATGACCATGTCACTTCTTTATACCAACATAATACAGAAGAGGAAATTTTTCAGTTTTTTTCCTTGTTAGAAATTAATTTAAAAACTTGGTTACACATAGAGTAATAGTTTCCTGGGAAGATCGGTACATTTTGTTTGCTTGCTTTGTTTTTGCTTTGTAGTTTAGGCTGGCCTTGAGCTCATGTGTAGCCCAGGCTTGCCTTGAACTCAGAGCCATACTCCTGCCTCAGCTTCCCAAGTACACTACCATGTCTGGCAAAGATCTGCACATTTTAATGCACATTTAGTGATTTCAGTCTGATCAAAAATAGTTTGTCAAGGTTCACTTCAAAGACCACAGAGAATGATTGTCTGTCTTCCTTGAGCATCTCAGTGGAAATTTTAAATTTAACATTTCATCATATTAAACTTTTTGATAACTGGAAACCTACGGGAAGGAAGCTGAATTTGCATTTTTAAAGTTTGCAAAGTTGATCCAGGGGAGTGGTGATGGTGCACTATATCCCAGCACTCAGGAGGCTGAGGCTGGAGAAATTGTGAGTTCAAGGTCAACCTGGACTACATATTGAGACCCTGTCTCAAAAAAAAAAGTACTGTGAAGTATTTAGGTTGATAACTTCTATTGTGGTATGAGCAGTCATTTTGATCTTGAGCTGTTTACATGCTAAATTGAAGAATTTACTTTCTGAGGTAACAGAGATCCAAATCTAGGGTTAAGTGATTGAAAAACTTGGTTTCAGTGTCATATGTAAAATACTGTCAGTGAACAGATTTACTTTTTGCTAAGTTAGCACTTCTGTGTTGTTAAAGAAAAAACTAAGTTGAATTATATTTCCATTTTGAGCATTTTAGTTACATTGGATTTTCTGACAGTGCTTTATTCCTGAGGACAGTTTTTCATTTGATTAAGATAGTTATAGCATAAGTTTCTTTGTCATTTTGTTATCTACCCTTTTCAGTTTTTTGTATTTTTTTAGAATTACATTTTTCATAGGACGAATGACAAAATTTGACTTAGGTAAAATGGAAGAAATTTTTGGTAGAATATTTATTTGTGTAATTTTTACAGTACTGAAGATTGAACCCGGGAAGCACTAAGTTAGCTCTTTTTATGGTTTTTATTTTGAGACGGTCCCACTGAGTTGCTTAGGCTGGGTTAGAATTTGGGATTCTTCTGCCTCAGCCTTCTAGGTAGCTGGCAGTAGTCTTATTTAAATTCATTGTTTCATAGAATAACAAAGAATATAATAATCTCTTAAGGGTTAGAGATACAAAATCAGCTTTTTGAGCCTGAAGTGGCTCACACATCTGTACTCTAGCCACTCAGAAGGCTAAAGCAAGGGATCCCAAGTTCTAGGTCAGCTTTGGCAATATAGGCATTTAGATAGCTCTACCCAAAGGAAAGTAGCCCAGTTTGCTTAGTGTATGTATGGAGATTTACTTGTTGCTGTCAGAATTGGAAGATTGCCCTTGAAAACTATTTGCAGATTATATCAGCCATAGTTTTTTTTCTTTTGGGCATTTGATATTTATGTATTAATTATATGTTGATGCTAAACTTTAAAAAAGTTATGCAGCAAAGTACAGTATGACAAAATAAAGCAGTTAGGAAAAAAGTTTAGAACTTTTTACTAGAACTAACCGCAAATCATGGGAGCATGTGATTTGTGATCTTTGGCTTAAAGAATGCTTGTGACAGGTGTTTTCTGTTTTTGGACGGAGGGGTTTTGTTTTTTTCTGGCGAGGCTTGACGGTGAATGCCTGTAATCCCAGTACTTTGGGAGGCTGAGGCAGGAGGATCAAGTTCAAACTCAGTGTGGACAATTTAAGGACATATAGTAATGAGACCCTGCCTTAATAAACTTTTAAAAGGGCTGAGGATGTAGCTCAGTGTGAAGGTCCTGGGTTCAGTGGCCAGTACTGGGAGGAAAAGTTCAGTTTCTGGCTAGCATTATCTCGTGTACGAAGTATAAATTAAAAATGAGAGAAAATTCCTTAGATTTATTTCTTTCCTTCTTCCCCTTTGTGGTTTTGGTTTGGTAATAGAGGTATAAAAATAGAAGATTAGAAACCAGTTAAGAGTCAAGTTAAGTACTGTGGTTCTCAGCCAGGAGTGATAGATCGCACATGCCTGTAATCCCAGCACTCTAGGAGGCTGAGACTGGAAGATCCAAAAGTTTGAGCCCAGCCTAGGCAGTTTCGTGATTTAGTGTAACCCTGGTCACCACAACCCCCCTTCCTGTAATAATCATCAGAACAATCAAAAGAGGCCTACAGATGTGGCTCATTGAAAAGCCCCTGGATTCAATCCCTAGCAACCCCACGCCCCCCCCAAAACCCTCAGAAAGCAGTCCCAAAAACCTGTGGTTGTGAAACTGCTCCAGGTTGCAGCAGAATTTTCAAGGGAAACAGTGCCATCTGTTGGACACTGCCCAAATGACTGTGCTCAGGTTGTACAACCTACTTAATAAAATGGTTAGGTGGTTTTGTTTGGTTTTTGGTTTATCGGTAAGGCAAAAATATTACAAAGGCAAGAGTATTATAACACAGACAGCCTGTATGGTAATATTGAGCAGTACTGCTATTCCCATTCCAAGATAAGGAAACTAACCCTTAGCTGATGATTGAGGATGGAATAGACAGCGGCAGTCGGCAGCCCTTTGCAACAGAGTTGTAAGTTTTGTAAAAGAGTGTGTGATAGTGAGCATAGTGTTACATTCCTTAATCCCAGGACTCTAGGAGGCTGAGGTAGGAGGATTGCAAGCCCAGTATAGGCCACTCAAAATAGAAAAGGCTAGATCTAGATGGACCTCTGAAGGCAACTGAGGTCAGCCCCAATACAGAAAAAACATATATGCATACATACGCAGACTCAACCCTACAGTTGCATGGCTAATGTTACCTCACCCTGATTCACCACACCCACCGCTGTGGGTATTAACATTAAATTTTTCTTTCTCTCTCTTTTTTCTTTTTGTGGTGCTGGGAGTTGTACATTAAACTTTTATAAATCTGATTATTAAATTTGCCATAGGAAGGCCTCCAATAATCAAGAATAAAAGTTGTGATTCTGAACCTTTGGAAATGAAGTGAAGTTGGGGAAAATAGTAGTACATAAAGGGTGAGGTTAGTAATGGAGTCAAGAATATGGGGGTGTGGAGGGGAGAGATAGGGTCTCACTATGCGTTTCAGATTGGCCTTGACCTTACTGTATAGCCCAGGTGGCCTCAAACTCACAGAGATTCTCCTGCCTCAGCCTCCCAAGTGCTAGGATTACAGGCATGTACCTCCACGCCTGGCCTTGATTCATGTTTTCTATGAAACTATTTCACCAATTCTTAAGTCAGTATCTTGCTAAAACTTTCTTTCTTGCAGCATGGCGGACACCGACCTGTTTATGGAATGTGAGGAGGAGGAGCTGGAGCCATGGCAGAAAATCAGTGATGTCATTGAGGACTCCGTAGTTGAAGATTATAATTCAGTGGATAAAACTACCACAGGTAACATAATCTTAGATTGTTTCTATCTTAGATTGTTGTGTAAATTAATTAAATTGAATGGCATATTGATGAAAAAAGTACCAGGTGAAAGAGCATAGAATCCAGTGTGTGGTGGCACTGGTGCTACCTTCTCTCCATGCCTTAGGCTAGGAGTACTTCAGTTTCCTCATCCATAGAACAAGACAAAACTCTCATTAGAAACATTGAGAAAAGCTGTGTTATCCAGTGTTTATCAGACATCTAGTAGTCCTCTTACCAAGTGGTGCATGTGCAAGAATATAAAGTGGTGGTGTGTGTTGGAGCTCGTTTATGTACCCGGTCAAAAACAAGTTCCTGGAGACGTGAGTTTTTGTTTGTTTTTGCTTTACTTGAACTTGGTTATCTTTGTGAGCTGAGGAGAAATAGCTTTGTGTCTGCCTTCATGGACAGTTTACAAATTTAGGCTTGTTAGCTTTTCTTTCATAAAAGTGATATTGTAGGTTCAAGTTCATGATTGACCTGAATGCAGAAAGTAGGTGGTAGTTTTTTTCTCCTAAATTATACCAGTTGCTCTCTGAGACATGAAGATGGCATTGGTTTAGGCTGAAATAGGACACAGTATGGGATATTGTAGGTGGCTTAATATGAAGGGTTATGAATACCAAGAGTGGTGTTAATAAATCTTTGAGTCCTAGGGGTTTGCTAGTGCTAGGTAAGTAAAACACTAAAACCACCCTGTTCATTGGGGTCTGTGATCTAAATTGACCAGGAAATGTAGAAGATGGAATTGTGTCTCTGTGGTGGACAAAGTGACTATTAGAAGGTGAAATCTGATGAAGCGTTGGATTTATGAATGAAATAGGAAATTTTTTGGCTATAGAGACCCATAACAATATGAAAAGGGGAGATTAGAGCAGTATCCTTTAGTGTCATCTGTCCCTGTCTCCAAGTGACTGTGCCTCCCCTTCCCCACAGTTTCTGTGAGCCAGCAGCAGGTCTCGGCTCCAGTGCCCATCGCTGCCCATGCTTCTGTTGCTGGGCACCTCTCTACATCCACCACCGTTAGTAGCAGCGGGGCACAGAACAGCGACAGTACAAAGAAGACTCTTGTCACACTAATTGCCAACAACAATGGTAAGTGGGATTATTCGGAAATTCTTCCTGGGTTAGAGGGGTGAGAAAATTAAACAGGATTTAGGGATAGTTAGGTACTGATGTTGGTCTACTTGTTGGAGGATGACTTTAGTAAGTAATGTGTTCTCTGATAAAGAGGTGGTTCTGCAGGTGGCACTGTTCCTTATAAGTTAGTGCTGAATTGTTGCTGGTGTTTCAAGTTAGAGGCCAGCAGAGTCCTTGCTGCTAATTTCTAGGAGAGAAAATGTAAACCTGGCATTCCTAACTGCTAGTTAGGCTGTTGTTGGTTGGTTTTCCTTATTACTTTTTAATTAGAAAATTCCTATTTGTTTGGCAAGAATTTTCCCATTGCAGCTTGGTTCTGTATTTTTCTCTGGCAGGTTCATTTGGTTGTTGGTTCCTGAGTATGGACGATAGAATAGGATTGTTGTCTACCTGAAGGAAATGGTTAGGCTGTAGTGTTTCTAGTGTATTTATCTATAAAAGAGGACATGTAATAGTGGTTTCTGTTTGACTACTGATAACTTTTTATATTCTCAAGATAAGTTATTGGCAAGTTATATTTCAAGATTCATAACCAAAAAAAGGCACATTCATAGACTCATTACATTGCTTCCATTATAAGGAACTTCATTTTTAATCATTTTATTTCCTTTATAAATAAAAACTGTATTACTGTAAGAATAATAAATGTATTATAGAAAAAGTAGAGAGGGAGCTGCGGATTTAGCTCAGCAGCGCAATGCCTACCTGGCAAGCTCGAGGTCCTGAGTTTGATTTCCGGTATCCCCCCACCAAAAAAAAGAAAATAGGGAAAAAATTAAAAAGGAGAGAAAACAATTTTAATTGTTAATCCTATCACCTGCAGATAACTATGATTCTTCCTCTGTGCATCTGTAGACTTTCATATACTGCTGTATGCTTTGTACAGTGATGTATTTTAGCCAGGCGTGGTGGCTCATGTCTGTAATCCCAGCACTCAGGAGGCTGAGGTGGGAAGATTGTTGCGAGTTCGAGACTAGCCTGGGCTACAAAGTGAGCTCAAGGCCAGCCTGAACTGCATGAGACCCTGTCTCAAAAAAAGACCAAAAAAAAAAAAAAAAAAAAAGATATAGTGATGTGGTTTTTACAAATGTGGATCACACGTCCTCTGCATTATTGTAATGAGTATTTTCATTTAGTACAGTTAGCTCTAACAATTTTTTTTACTATTTCCCATTAGTTGATTGACTCTTACTAGGTTGTAAAAGGGGCTACAATGAAAATACCTGTTTCTGTATTTTTTCTCAATGCCTTAGTTCTGAAAAAGTCACATTGTTGGTTCAAAGGTCATTGCAGTGACTAGGGATACAGCTCAGTGGTAGAGAAGTTGCCTAGCATGCACAAGGCCCTAGGTTTGATCCCAGCACCACCAAAAAGAAAAAAGTCATCAGAAGTTTTAATGATTTGATCGATATTGTTGCTGGACTACCTAGAAATATAACTAGAAACACATTTACTTTAGAAGAATGTATGGTGTTCTTATTTTTTGATATGAGCATTTATGTATGCACTCCTCTGTTTTTGGACATTTATTGGTACCTCAATTGTTCATTATTACAAGAGTGTGATAAGTATTCTTGGATGTATGTCTTTGCCCCCTCTGTAAGCATATCTGAATATGTAAATATATAATGTCTGAGAGGTAAGATTTGGAGAACAGGTATTCAGATTTGATAGACATTATCAAGGTGCCCTGATAGGTTGCTCTAAAGAAGTACCAACCGTAGCTCTTCCCTTATGTTGTAGCCAAATTAGGTATTAGCAGACTTTTATTTTATTTTTTTGAGACAAGGTCTCGATATGTTGTTTAGTCTGGTCTCAAACTCGCAATGATCCTCTTGACTCAGCCTCCCAAGTGCTGGGTTTATAGGTGTGTGCCACCACGCCCAGCCATAGCAGACCTTTAAAGCTTTAATTTCTGTGGGTTTTCAATTTTTGGTTATTGAAAGTATTATTATCTCACGGGAAATCTTCAAGCTTTTGGGGGTATTGGAGATTGAACCCAGGGCCAAAACCTTTACAATGAGCTCTTTTTTATTTGGAGACAAGGTCTCACTAAGTTGCTCAGGCAGCACTCAAACTTGTCATCCTCCTGCCTTAGCCTCCCTTAGTGTAGGAATTACACTAAGTGTGGTGTGTGCTACCACACTTGGTGAAACCCTTCAGTTTTTTTAAAAAAACAAAAACAACAGTGGGTATTTTTTTGTGTTTTTTTTTTTTCCCTTTCCATGCTGGGGACCAAGCCCAGGACCTCTTTGATACATGCTAAGCAAACACTTTTTTTGTCTTTTTGAGACAGGGTCTCACTATGCAATTCAGATGGCCTTGAGCTCTCTTTGTAGCCCAGGCTGGTCTCAAACTCGCAGCGATCCTCCTGCCTCAACGCTCAGCGCTAAGCAAACTCTATCTACATCCTCAACCTTGGACCCTTATGTGTAGAAAGATGGAGAACCACCTAGTTCAATTCCTTTATTTTGTAGGTATGGAAACAGGCCTAAGATGTCTAAATAATTTGTTTAAGGTCAGTTACTGGTAACTAAACTGGATTGGAGTTACCTGGAATTCAACACTTGTGGTATTTCCATTATATTGCATTGCTCTCCTGTGTTTCTCTTAAATGGTGAACAACTGAGTTAGCCAAATTTTTCTTTGATCTCACGGTTCCAAGGCCGATACTAATATGGCTGAGCATCTCATGACATGCTGAGATGATCTGTCTTGGTGACTCCTTAAATGCACCTTGGATTCCTGAGCCTGTGTACTAATTTTATTTATTTATTTATTTATATTTATTTTTTATTTTTTTATTTTAATTTTTTTTTATTTTAAAGAATAAAAGAAGGATAACATAATAATAGGGGGGACTTAGCAAATTACAGACAAAATGGTAGGAAATTATCAATGGTTATCGTTTTTACATATTATTATCTACAAATTAGTTTCTCAGGAAAACAAATACTGTGTACTAATTTTAAAAAGAAAAAAATACATATATATACACACACACACACACACATATAGAATTGATTTTACTTACTTTAGAAATGTGTAGTGTCTAGAAATGTTAATTGATGTTCATAATAAAGAAGAAAATGGATATGGACTGGTAATGACAATTAGGTATGTTTTATTATTTTCCAAAAACATTTTCAGATATAAATAAGTTTAAATTAAAAGTCATTTTGTCTAGCTTGGGGGACATGACAAAATAAATACAGTTCTGTAATTTTTCTTTTTTGTAATGCTGGGAATTGAGCACAGGGAGCACTGAGCTGTGTCCGTACTCCTGTTTTTATTTTTTATTTTGAGACCAGGTCTTGCTACGTTGCCCAGGCTGGTCTCACACTTGCGACCCTTCTGCCTCAGCATCCTGAGTACTTGGGATTTCAGGCCTGTCCATCATGCCTAGCAAATTCTGTGACTGTTTTCATCAGATCCTCTTTGAAATGCTGCCCTAAATGTAAGGTTGAGACTTTAGATTAGAATGAATGAAAAATATTCCCTCTTACAACCCAATTTTCCTTTAAGCTTTTAGTTTAATTGTACTGGTTCATTGTCCATGTATTACAATAATAACATAGCAAGGGAGAAGAATTCTTAAGCAGCTCAGTATTGTTTCATTTAGTGTACTGGGTTTTTTTTTAGAACGTTCCCCCTTCACTATTCTCTGCTCTTCTTTTTTTGGAGGTGGGTACTGGGGATAAAACTCAAGGATGCTGTACCACTGAGCTACATCCCCACCCCCTTTTTTATTGAGACAAAATATTGCAAAGTTACCAGGTGGTATCTTGGAATCCTCCTGGTTAGTTAAGCCTCTGTCAGAGTGGCATTACTGCATGCCCCATCATGTCTGGCTAGTAACTATATTTCAAAAGTCTGTATTTCTTTATGCATTGATTTAGTTTTTATCATTTTATTGTCTTTGCCCTCTCTACATGAAAGCATTTCCTTGACTCTTGTTCTTAAAGATTCTAATTTCAGCAGCTTTATTATGGTATAATTTGATAAATATAAATTGTATGTTATTTGTAGTGTACAGTGTAATAGCTGGATATACAATATGAAGTGATTAAATGAAACTATCTGACACCGTACATCTTTTTTTGGTGAGAACATGTAAGATCTACTCTCTTAGCAATGTTCAGATATGCAGTATATTATTATTAATGCGACCATGTTGCACCAGCAGAACTCCAGAACCTACTCATCTTACTAAAACTTTGTGCTTTTTGACCAGTACTGTCCCATTGCCCCTCTCCCCATAGCCCTTGTTAATCACCAGTCAGCTTTCTGCTGGTTTATTTTGGGTTCTAGATATAAGTGAGATGATGCCATGTTTGTTTCTGTGTGAAACAGAAACAAACAAACTACCACTTAACGTAGTAGGAACATTTTAAAAATTACTTCTCCCTGGAGTTTCTTAACTCTCCGTTTACCTCTTGTTGAGGTCTTGTCAGGTTGCTGTGTAATCTTTTTCTTTGACTGATGTGCTTATGTATTATACATAAGTAGATGTGAGGGCAGTAGGTCATAGTTTCAAATGTCAGTGGTAATTATTAAAATACTAGTTATGTGGCCTTCAAATCTGGAGGTTTTAAGTTCCTTTAACATACCTTATGTCTGTGCTCTGTGCTTGTGACAATATAATAGAAATAAGATAGTCTTGCATTAAAAAAGATTAAAATCTGTGTTGAATCTAGGTATTGCTAGAGAGTAGTGAGTTATCAGTAGATAATTCCTCATTCAGACATGAAAATTTAAGAAACCTAAGTAAGACTGTGTAAAATTGGCATAGGAGTAGACCAAATAGGGGCCTCTTGCACAGATGGAAACAATATGTTACAAAGGCAGTAAAACAGGAGACTGGAGGCAGAGGGACAAGGGTAATAGGACAGTTCTCCTTTTATGATGAAAAATACTGTTTCTTCACACATACACAGAAATCAGTTTCAAGTGGA